TGGACTAGATGACCTTTAGAGGTCCCTTCCAACCCAAACTATTCTACGATTCTATGATTAAAGGACGTATTTCTGGAAAGATAATTACTGAATGATATTTTAAAGAGTAAAATTACTCGTGAACAGAAAGACATAAAATTTCATGTAATATGCCCATAGAAAAGCAATACTTCTGCTATTTGGTGGTCAACTGGAGACAGCCTTCACATACACATACAGGAGTGGAAATGCATATGTCAATGTTTTTCATCTGGCATGATGAAAATACCTATGCTTATGTTTTTCATCTGGCATGAAAAAAAATGCAGAAATGAAGTAGTTGGTACAATCCCCGTGTTCAACACAATTCTTCCTGATTCTCACTTACACAAATACTCGGTTCAGATTCAGACCTTGTCACAACGGTCCAAGGCATGGGTCAGAACAGCTAATTGTTTTTGACTCCATCATGAGCTGCCTTTGCTACAAATGACGACTGTTGGCTGTACAGTGCAGGTTTTCTCTTTACAAACCCATAATAAGGCTGCACAAGACAAAAATGGTCACATGGAAAGCTGGGAAAAAGCTCTGGGTTGCTTTCCTCATCTTCACACATTCCCCCAGAAGCAATAAAGGTTTGCTTCCCTACTTACCTTGCTGTTGCAGTTTGTAGTCTGTGGAGTATGCCTTGCCTATGATGTTCCACACGGGCCTCAGACAACCGAAAAGTCCCTCAAGAAACCCACCGCTCCCACTGCCTGATCTGTTGAACTGGACTTTAACATCATCCGCTCCACTATTGCTCTCTCCATCCATAGTGTTCCTGTTGCCCTGAGGAATGGCTGTTTCAGACTCATCCTGCTCTCGCAGCTGCAGCACGCTGTTCTCAAATTGGTCCCTAGAGTCCTCGCTGATGCTGGTCAGCACTGCTGCAGTGACTGGGCTGCTCATGTTTTCAATGAGGTCTGCCTGCAGCAAGCCCTTGTCACGCACATCCTCTATGAGCTCGGGGGACGGGTGGTTTCCAGTAGGTGGATGTTCATCATGTAACCTACTAAAGTCTTTATCTTCACAGAAAGCTTTGCCGATCGAGTTTGGAGAGGAAGACAAGCTCAGGCGCTCCTGAGTACTGGCCATGATGCCGTGAGTGTGCATCAAGGAGATGGTCTGAGTTGGTACTTAGAGAATTAGTACAACACAATTCAGATGTGACACACAGACCCAGTACCTGAAACGAGAGGAAAAAAGAACAACTTTCAAATTTTTATTTAAGTATTTTCACTACATGCACTTCCACAGAGGCAAGCTGATAATTAACTAGACATTCCAGACAACTGCTGATACTTAGTAAATAATTACTGCCCTAAAAGAAGCAAATAAATTATGCCAACAGAAACTCCACTCACACCGTACTCTCAGTAACCTACTGCAGGAATTGCCTGGTAAACAAACACCACAAGTTTTAAACAAAAGCCTAAAAGTCAAAACCGTGAAAGACTCTTTGCAGCAAAGAGCTGTTTCTTCATGGTTACTAGAGCATTTATCAGACTGAAGCTGACCCCCAGGGGTTTCCCAGCTCAGGTATGGTTTGAGTCCAGTCACTGTTTCTGGGTCTGGCACAGCCCACAAGCTCAGGATTCCTCTGCAAACCCTTGAGACAAGACATTAGAGAAACAAAGCACAGTGATATAGGTACCTTGAGTCCACCAAGGGATGGTTTGTAGCTGCTCCCTCAGAGCCCCACCTAGTTACAACCATCCTAGTCCTCTAGTTTAATCCTTTCAAGTTTAATGTAGCAAGATATGTTACATTCTCTAACCATGTACATATCAACCTCATAAACAACGAAGAATTACAGAGCTTCACAGGAACAGTATACCCTCCTCTCTGATCTCCCTCCTTCCACAAGCCTGAAGAGCATCTCCTCCCACTGCTCTGCTTTCCCCCTGCATGAAGTTCCTGGTAGTCTGCATATAAATTCAGAGCTGGTGTCCCCTTTTAGAAGTCCTCCCATCTCTCTTCTCTTTCTACATGCTCCTCTGAAAGACACTTTTTCCACAATCCAGCATAGTGCCACCTTTCTACAGAGCCAGGCCGACAGCAGAGGGTCGCGCTGCGATAGCTGCCCACTGCCAAAGCACTTTTCTGGGGTAGAGGCACTTCTGAAACAAGAGTCTCTAATTTTGCACCAGAAGTAACTGAGTGCATTCAGCCTGTAACACAGAACAAAGTCCAATTTTAAATTCCATATGAAGTTGGGGAGGGGGGCAACAGTAGTAACAGAAACTATTTTGTTAAAAAGTAAGATCAGTTACACTGGGTGCAAAGTCCCGGGCTCTGCAAACAGCTACTGAAAGGAAGAAAGAGGTGGCCAGGTAGCACGCAGCCAATTGAAAGGGGACAGCTCAGTCCCATAACTTCTCAAGATGAGGTCATTACAGAGATGAGAGATAACACCTTCAGCCTGGTGTATGAAAAGCTCACGCCCTGGGCTTCAGCCCCTCTCCAACAGCAGAAGCAGCAAATGGGAACAGCCAGGAGCCTGTTTTACGTTCCCATATTTCTGCCTGATCACATGGGGTATGCATAAAAGCTTAATTAGAAGAACGTCATTTAGGCTGTAAACTTCGTTCTTTAAAAGAAAGCAAAATAGCAAGTGAGGCAAAAATTGCAGCACAGTCCATACCACTAAAGGAGCTGAATTAGACTCGTACAGGAAGCTCGAAGTTGTTTATTCCTGACCTACCTGTGACCAGCGTTACAATGACTGAGTCCCCAGCATGGGAAGCTGTAGGGTGACTGCAGTAGTATGGTTACTACTAGTAGTAGTTGTTATATGATCACAGATTTTGTTGTCAATATAAAGAAGAAAAGGGAAAAGTTTCAGACCTGAACAGAATTTCAGGAAAATACCAAAACAACTCCAACTCAGCACTCCTGGGCACTGCTCCTGCTCATTTCCAAAAGTCTGAGAGAGACAAGTGATTCTTTAAGCAAAAGCAAAATGTGACCAGTGTCCCTAAAGAGGAATCTGCTTTTCATAACACAGCATATTAAGCAATGTAAATAAAACAGTCAGTTTCCCCTGCAAGAAACCCCAGAGTAAGAGCCAAAACAAGAATTTGGGGTAACAGCATCCCAAAAGTATCTCAATTTTAAACAATGGAAAGTGCATTAAGGATTAAATCAGACTTGCAGGAGGATAAAATTGTTTTGCTAGTACACAACTCTCAAAATACACTATCTAATAAAGGCTAGGATTTTGCTTTTACCTTTCTACATAGTTTTCTGACTTCACAATGCATGATCATGTAAGATTTAACAGAGAAAGAACAGCTTTTCCTGTATGTATTTCATATTTTTCTAGTTTCTAAATGGATTATCAGCATCGTATGTGACTCCTCCTCCCCCCATGTATTTCTCAGTATTGCTTGGAAAGTTAAGCCTCTCTCTTCCATCCTGCTGCTGAAGCATGAAAATATATATACATTATGCTGCTAATAGCTACTAGACAGCCCTGACCCTCAGTTCACTTGTACTCTGGTATTATTTGCTCTACAGAAGCCTTTAAGCACAGTGCCCTGCCATCTTATATGCCACTGTATCTGCTTCATGGGGAGAGGAGGCATGCAAAAGTTACAAAATTATTTTCAAACTGACATGATACAGCCTTATTTAGGTACTTACATAAGCAGCCTGATTTTTCAGAGGTGTAGTGAACTCATTGTTTTGAGAGCATGAGATGGCAGCATTTATTTTAAAACAACTTTGTATCAATCCAACTTAAAGTGGTCCAGATACATTGGTGGGGGTAGAAGGCAGTTTCTGCCACAATGTATCAATGCTGACTTGTTGGGGAAAATAATTTTTTAAATTATATTACAGTAAATTCTGCAATGTGCAACTTCTTGCCTTAGCAAAATTTGATATAACACAGACAAATTGGGTTGTCTTCAACCTTGCCATCTCTTCAAACAAGGGAGGAAGAGCATTTTTCAAGCTTTATCGTCATGCCTCCCCTATTCTTTTGGTCAGAGTACCAAAGATATGGCTGAGATTGTTCACGTTGAACTCTTCCCTATAAAAGAAAAAAAAAAATTTGTCAAGAAAAACATTTTCTTGAAAGTTTAAAGTTTCATTATATATAGACCGTTTGCCATTTGGGATGTTTATGATCTGTATGTGCCTCCTTAACTTTTACAGTGAAGAGCATAGTCAAGTGGCATTCTGTTTCTATCTTAGCGATGCTTCTGCTGTAGCAGTCTTCAAGTCAAAAGCTGAAAGCTCTGTGTGTGTAGGAGGTTTGTGCGCATATTCAAGATACTCGGATTTCATGAAGTGCTGCTGCAAAAGCAGACATCAAGGCAGACCTTCTGATTTAAACTATTTTGATGAGTTCATGCACTCTGCAGCTAACAGATTTATTTTATGTCTATAAGGAAATTTGAGGCTCAGTGTAATTTTGTACGATCACTTCTTGTAAATGATTCCATTTCCAGGCAAAGCATTTTTCCAGGCAAAATCCCACCATGCCCAGACAAAAGGAGCACAAAGCGCACCTCCTCCGGGAAGAGTGAGACTGCACCTCAACACGCCAGAGAGCCCGAACTGCAGTTTAAAACTATTAGAAAAGTGACATTTTACCCGAATCGGCACCAGAGTGGGTGTATCAGTTACCACAAGGCATGCTCTCACGTTGCCTGATACTGTGTCTGCTCCTGGAAACATTGGTCTAGTAGGTGTTCTCATACACACACACACGCAGCGCAACCAAAGCACATGGCTGCCTATACAAGCCCAGTATTTGTAAGAGTGTCAAAGCAATAGTCAGGTTTGAACACATGGCGGAGTTAAACAAATGCCTCGCATGGACCATAATGGCAGTTTCTCCTTTAAAGAGCTGCGCTAAAAATAGACTAGCAAATTACAATTCCAAATACAGCACACAAACAAAATGTTAGTATGCTGTAAAGGTTGCACAAGTACAAAGCGGTCTCCGCTCAGTTTCCTAACAGCACAAATGTCTAGTAATATTAAGTTAGTTTCCTTGAAGCACTATTTCCTATATTACCCAGTCAAGCATATTCTAAGCTTGCACTTCCAATATACAAAGGAAATAAAAGCAACTGTCTGATCCATGTTTAAGGGCTGAAAAAGAACAGCTGGCAGAAACTAGCCAGCTGATACACAGCAAGTATCAAGGACAGAAGAGATTCCTGTCCATATCACTACTTACATTCAAGCCCTGGAGTTCCCTTGCTTTTTCCTGGTACTCAGTGTGATTTCCTTCTGGCTACATTAGGTACAGCAAGGTAACCACACCTTTCTGCACTGATAACACGACTGCAATTTGTGTGTGTATCATCTCAAGACTAGTGCAATACTCCTGGCTTGGGACAATACTTTAAAATGTTCTAGAATCTAACAAAAATGCAAAAAGCATGCCTATAAAGTATAGTTATCTTGCTACACATCTTGCAGCTGAGTTCTCCTGCCCCTTGTGATCATCTCTCAATTTCTACACGGGATATTTACAACAGGTTGATACGCAGTCCTCTCCCATCTCTTGACCTTCCACACTGTACAACTTCAGCACAGGAAAGCACTGAGAGTTGCTGAGTTGGCAAGTACCAGAGCTTTGGCTGTCATTTCTGACCTTTGGGTTTTGAAATTACATGATTTTATTACACAGGATTCCAACAAACTTTTTCTTTTCCTGGTCTCCTGGTGAGGAAAATGCTGCATGAGTGGATCAGATGCTCCTCTTACACTGTACTTTTATGGTTTTATATTACTTGGAATATATGCTTGTGTTTTGCATGGTTCTTTTGAACACAAACTGTAATAGCAGATTTATTAATAGAGAATGAGTTACACATCATCAAAATGCAACTACTTTGTTTTCAGGGGGTTTGTTTTGGTTTGGGTTTTTTTTTTTGGTGAAGTCACATTATTCAGAGGAAGGAATTGCAAACGAACTTACCCTGAAGCTTCACCCAGAACTGCTCTGCCTTTCTTTCCCTTCTCTGGGGTGGGGTGGAGGGAAGCTCTATTTTATTAGGTTTTCAAAAAAGAAACAACACTATTAGCTCGGTGCAGTATAACCCACATTATGGGCAAATCTTTAAGCTAACTATGGAGTAGCCCAAGGCAAAAGCTTGGGGTTTTTTAAGCAATCAATCTCTTTCTCGAGACACACTGCTCCTTCAAGGAAGCATGTTTCTTCCA